CCAAGCGCCGTTTCCCTTCTACGATCGCCGTGACCTCCAGTCCCCACCGCCACCGCACCCGCGGGGCGGCGCCCAGGGCGCCGACCAGATGGGCTGGACCGGCAACGCTGCCTCAGCGACGGACTGTCCCTCGCGTGGGCGTTGCCGGCGCGTCTACTTCGCAGACGACGAGGACGTCAATTGTTCCGACACGGACGACGACGCCCACGTTGCGTTCACGACCTTCCAGGTGACTATCGATGCCAGCACCACGAATGAGGAGCTCTACGAACTCTATACGGCCGTGAAGCGCCGGTGGCGTGCTCAGACTGGCCGCGTGCCTCGCCGATTCCGTCACCGGGGCCGCGGACAAGGCCGATACCGGCGTCCCAGTGGCTGGAGCCTTTTCGACGACGCTGGTGACGGCGCGACGTGCCCGGAGTGCGACGGCTACTACAAGGACTCGGGCAAAGGCTTCAACGGCAACGGCAAAGGCAAGAGGCGTCTCAACCTTCTCGGGTCCAACGGCGCCAGGCTTAAGTGCGACAATCCCGCATGCGGGAGCCAAGAGCATCTCTGGCGCCAGTGCGATGGCCCCAATGCCGAGCAGTGCAAGCAGCAGCGCATGTCGAGGGAGAGCGGCGGACAGCGTTACTTCGACATGCCGGCCGGCCCCCCGACACGGCAGTCGCCTCCAGTAGTAGAGGTGCCGCAGGCGGCCGGAGCAGCAGCGGCAGTGCAATACCGACCTGCAGCAGCAGCCTCCAGCGAGACCGCCATGGAGCGTTGGCAGCGTCTGACTGGGCAGAGCGTGGGACCGACCGAGGCGACCACTCGCCGAGTCTTCGTCTCGCCTCTCATGGTTACCGAGGGCGTCTTCGAGTACAACACCCAGCACATTCGCGATCATCCACGTCGCGACCACGATGACGACGCGCACCGGGATGGCCCGCGCCCGCGCAGGTTGCTGCAGGGGCCAGGCGATGGCCACGATGTCGCCGCCCGCTTCTTCAGCGCCACTGCGCGCCCATCAACGTGGCGCGCTGAAGAGCTCGGAGACGACGACGAGGTCCCAAACACCTCCTGGCCAGGCACCGCGCGACGCAGAAGAGCAGTACCACGAGCATTGGAACCCGTAGCGCAGGGAGTGTGGCGTGAAGTGGTTTGCTGGACCTGTCTGCTTCAACGCCGAGCACGGCGACCATGTGGAACGCGAGCTGTTCTTGCGAACCACTCGCCCGCCTGGCTTCGAATGCCTCCTCAGTGATCCCGGCGCCTACGACAACCTGGTGGGCTCGCAGCGGGTTGATCGTCAGGCGAAGGAGGCGGAGGTGGTCGGCGAGAGCCCCATCCTCACGCAGCTGCAGACTCCAATTGGCGTCGAGGGCGCGGGTGCGAACCCGCGGCGCGCGAACGACCAGGCGACGATTCCAGGCGTCTTCCAGGAGATTCACGGTCGATACCACAAGATGACCTATGAGGCGCCGGTCGTGCCGAATAGCAGCGTTCCGGCACTCTGGGGACAGCGGTCGACGGGGCCACGCCGCTCGGTCTTGGACATGGTCTCGCGCAAGCTCTATGTGTGCGGGCCGGCTAGGTCATCTTTACTTCCCCGCCCGGCTCGATCGCGATTCAGATTATCAAGAGTGCTTCGGGCCATCTGAAAAGGCTCGGCCACATCCGTGCAGCGGCGAGGTCCGCGCCGACCGCTCGCGACTTGAAGTTGCGCCTCAACTTCGAGCAGAGCGACCATATCGATGCACAGGGAGTTCCCTAAGTCGCGGAGCGATGACGCAGATTACGGGGCCAGCATGACCACCATCGACAGCATCCATTCCAGACTACGTGCACCATGGACGTCAAGGCGACGCTCTTGAACGTGCTGGGAATGCAGGGTCTCGGTCGGACACGCGACGATCATCACGCTCCCGGCCGCCACCGCCTCCAGGGCTGTCGTCGAGCAACGGCGCGCTCGCGCCGATGCAGAGCCTTGTGCCAAATCGGGCGCCGCATCTGGTGCCGCTCGAGATCGTCCGGCTGGCGGGCCCATCGCAGCGCCGACGATCAACAGCAGGCACCTGCTGCAGGTGCGCGGCGACGCGAGGCTGGCGGGGCGAACGGGCGACGGGGCGGGGCGGGACGACGCCCGCCGCGACCCCACTTCCCATTGAGGGTGCGGCGTGCCGCTCCCAATCGGCGGCGCGACCGCAGGCCCGGTGGCAGCTTGGCAGAGCGAGGACGTTCATGAGCAGGGCGATGCCGAGATCTTCGCGGTGATAGATGAGGACCCCTTCCAGTGCCCTACGGGCCGGTCTGGTGGAGGCGTCTGGCTTAGCACCTGGTGCACGGCTTGCTCGCCTAGGGATCCTTCGCCCGCGCACAAACGCATGCATCGTGGACAAGCTACAGCACTCGCTGTGCGGGGGTGTCTGGATGAGACTCGAGGAGACGAGAGGGAGCGCCAACCGACGACGACCACGAGTGGCTCCAGATCAACGTCGGCTTCAGGCCACCGCAAACATCATGGAACAGGTGGCGCAGCGGCGCTGCCTGCTGACCGCCGACGCCCAGGAGAAGTCGGAGGTATGGAACGACCCCATCGATAGCAGCGCTGGTAAATGCCCGTAGCGATGACTACGTCCTCTGGCGCGTTCGATGGTGCACTTACCTGGAGTGCGGGGCAGCAGCGCCGACCACTACGACGCAGCTGTTCTACGCCAACCTGGATGCGCAGAGTGAGCCGTGCAAGTGTGGACGCCGACAGGCAGACCACGCGAGGGCGACAGGAGTAAAGGCCATCAGGAACGAGCGTGGCTTCCTCGAGGCCCTCGGCCAGCCCCAGCTACACGTTCTGCTGAAGAATGCGTTGAACCCCGAAACGCGCGAGGCGCGAGAGGCGCAGCGGCAGCAGCAGCGCGCCGCCCGCTGTTCTCCGTCTGGCGACGAACCGGAGGTGCTGACGAGTAGGAAGGCGCACCTCGACTCCTCCGTCGAGCACTTCCCCGCGGAGGCAGCCCGCGCCTATAAGGGGCGGCTGGTTGCCGGGCGCGAGCGAGCGCGGCGGAAGCCGAGGGTCGTTGACATCGACGTCTTCGACGATTGCGGCGACGACCCGGGAGGTATTGGAGGTGATTGCATCGCGCACTCGCCCGAGGCTTGGTCAGACACCCGTGAGAACGAAGTCACGGGCCCCCTTTTAGACGAGAGCGACTTCCACCTCACCGACGTCGCGGCGTTCTTGGGCGCCGCAGACCAGCAGCGTCACATTGTCCGCTGCTTGGGCTTCCTCGCGTGCGCGCAGTACTTTAAGGGATTGGCGCGCGGGGCAGCGGACGAGCCTCATGTGGACGTTTGCGAGGTGATGGGAGGAGAGGCTCGTACTACTCAGGTCCTCACTCGGCGCCACTTTCGTGGCGGTCGTAACTTCGACGCGACCGTCGGCGTCGACTTAGCGTTGCGAGAGGAGGGGGGGGAGGAGCTGCACAGGTACTTGCACGAGATGGCGCCGCTTGTCTTCGCGATGTCACCACAGTGCACAGCGACTGCTGGCTGGCGGACGGTGAGCGAGGCATGCGGCAGCCAGAGGGACATGGAGAGCCCGGATGTGTCGATCCACCTCGGCCAGATATGCGGTCGAGCTGCATAGATCCACCTGGATGGCCAGCGACGCTTGTCAACGAGCTGCCCCGTGGGAGCATATTGTGCGCCCCTCCGGCGTGGCAGGAAGTGGCTTGCCGGTATATTACGTGGGTTACTTCCCACATGTGCCAGGCGGGCCTCGTCATCTCTCTCGGCCAGCCGTTGAAGAAGCCGGAGGAGGTTCGAGCATCCCACGAGATCTTGATCTTTCGCCTTCGCCAGCTTCAGCGCCCCGGCGAACACGTGCACGGCGTCGCCGAAGGCCAGGGGGCCGAGGCCACGCAGCAATGGCCGCGGCGGTTCGTTCAGCTGTCGGCGCCTTGCATCGCCGACTTGGTCCTCATGCTCGGAGGTGGGCGTCCGACGAGCTCGAGCTGCCTTCCCGGCAGCCGCGGATCATTCGACCAAATACGCGGGCTGCAGACGACACATTTATGCCGAGCATCCGATGCGCACGCGGGTGCCTGGGGTGTGCGACTAATTACCTGCGCCACCACGACGCGACGCACATTTGTCCTGCGTGCGCCAAGGGGGCTTGGCGAGCATCCTTGCAGCACAACTACAAGGCAGGAGAATGCCGGCTGGCGACGCCCAGTTCTCGAGTGTCAGCCTCGTCCCCGGCCCCGCGACGACATCAACGAGATGCGCGTGTACCTGCATCTTCGGCGGCCGACGCTGGCCTCCGCAACTTCCCTCGAGCAGGCGACCCGGACCCAGAAGAACCAGCTAAGGCTCCGCTAACCGGAGGTAGTTCCGGAGTGCGGGGCGGGCCGGTGGAGCAGGCGATCGTACCTGCTGGTGCGCCTCTTCCACCCGATCCTCATCCTGAGCTGCCTGATCCCCATCGCAGCGTCGCTCGAAAACGGCTGCAGGACGCCATCGCGCAGGTAGACACTGGAGCAGAGTGGGCGCAGTGGGACCTTGGAAATGGAGATCCAGGGATTGCGATCGGCGGCGTCTGGCATGGTTCAGCGAACGCTCAGGCGAATGCACGTCCGACTCTGGCATGCTCCTGCCCAGAGAATGCGCGATGTCTTGTCTGCTGCTGGCCTGCCAGGCTGGGTGATTGACCGGGCGCAGGCGGCGCGTGACACTTGCACTGTCTGCCGCGCGTGGGCGCGAAGAGGCGCGAGGCCGACGACGGCATTATCGTTTACTTCGAGCTTCGACGAGGGTGTCCAGTTCGACCTCTTGTTCGTGGATGATGGCATCGCTGTTCACTTGATAGACCTTTGCATCAAGTGTTCATCGATTCGAAGGAGCCTCAGCACGCGCCCCCGGCCATCGTGCACATCTGGTTTCGCGTCTACTCGCCCCCCGTGTTCATGGTATCGGACTAGGGGGCGCCCTTTTCTCGGACGAGGGCAGCACCTGGGCCGAAGGTTGGAACGTGCGGGAGATCTTCTTCGAGAGCGTACTGGCTTTGAATTGCCTTGTCTCGGTGCACGGACAGACTCCATATGCATCTCTTTTTGGACGAGTCCCGAACCTGCTGCAGGAGGTGGTTGGGCCTGGCTCCGCGGTAGATGACAGTGCGGGTGGGGTTGAGAGCAGCCGCCGCATTCACCGGTTACGAGAGTTGTCACTTGCCGCGATCGCGCAGGGCAATGCCGAGGACCGCCTGAAGCTAGCAGCGCGCACCAAGACCCGGTTGACAGGCCAGCTGATCAACTTGCAACCCGGCCACTTCGATGATATATATTGCGATCCGCCCAACGAAGACGCGACGGGCTGGAGAGGGCCTTGTCCGGCGGTTTCTCTGGACAGGCTCGACGAGGGGGTCGCGGAGGCACGGTGGCAGAACAGGGTGATGGCTGTGAGGATTCCCGACATGCGTCGGTCGATCATCTGGCTGGCGTTCCTGGCGGCGCCGGCTCGGAACGACGCGATCCCGTGCCAGTTCTTGATCCACGAGCTCGAGCAGATAAGCCGTGGCTCGAGCATGTTGCTGGGTTACGAGGTGGGCGATGAGGGCAGATGGAGGTTGGCACCAGCAACGCGCAGACATGCCAAGCTATTTGACGCTGCTCTTTTCGTTGCTGCTTGCGACTTGCACCCATCTGGAGCGGTGGCCGTTCGCCTGGGTAACGGGCGCCGCGAAGCAGCACCTAGTCGCGGCCACTACCATTCGACCATCTATTGGTGGGTCAGTGGCACCCGGGAGGAAGTGCGATATCTTCTTCACGATCCTCGCCGTCGCTTGTTAGTCCAGGAATCTCTGGGCGCTTGTTGGAACGAGACCCTCTGGGTGCAGCTCCTGGCTGTCACCGATGACACGTTGGAGGGCGTTCGCAATCTTATGCCTCAGGTGCCGAACCTCGGGGTCCAGGTCAGCCGCCTGACTTCCCGATCGCGCCGCCATTGCCGGCAGCGAGTGAGACAGGCGAGACTGGACGCCGCGGTCTCTTCCAGAGCCTCGCGGCCGAGACCGCGATCGCCGTCTCTGGAGCACGAGTTGGAGGACATGGGGAGCCTCCGACTGATCCAACCGAGACGGTTGCGACCGACGGCAGCAGCATTCCGAGGTCTCTGCCCGAGCCGCGAGTGCCGGCGCGCGCGCGCAGCCCTGGGGGAGAGGATCCCGACCTAGAACAGCCGGCAAGACGACCCCTTGAGCTTCCACGAGCGCCTGATGGACGTGACCATCGCGACGAGCTTTGGGGTGACGAGTGGGACCCGTCGGACCCAGGCTGGCATGACGATCGCAGTCGTGAGTTTAAGTTGTTCTCGCAGTTGGAGCGGTCGGAGGTGCCGGACTCAGATCATGTCGACGCGGTCGTTGCAGCGCACGTGGCTACGAGCACCGCCCGCACCATCGTGGACAGCGAAGGCTGGAATGCTTACGTCTGTGACAGCCCTGCTCCGTCCTTGGACGACCTGGAGTTAGAGCTGCCTCGGGAAATTGCCTTCCTGGTGGTCGGTCTTCTGGATGGAGACATCGGCTTCGAGCTGTGATTGCTCGCGAGGCCGATGACCTCACTGCCGTCGAGTTGCAGCCACACCAGCGCGACGTTGATGAAGCATGCGTTGACGAGCTGGGCAAGTGGATCGGGCTGAAGGCGCTGACAAGGAGGAAGCGAGCCGGTTGCCGCAATCTGATGTCGGGCCGTTGGGTCATTAGGTGGAAGCGAAAGCCCGACGGGACATTGGTTATCAAGGCCAGCCTTTGCACATTAAAGGGTTCCAAGACCGCGAACAGGGATGCCCAGCTACGTTCAGTGCCGCCGCATCCCGCCAAGCGCAGCGCATCGTCAACATGATTGCTGGCACGGTTCCCGACTTCATCCTCTTCTCTTGCGACGTCGGCATTGCGTTCTTGAAGGGGCTCACTTCCGAACAGGTTGCGAAGATGACCGGGGGGGCACTTCGGGCGGCGCAGCTGGACTTACCGAAGGGCGCGGCGAAGTTGATCCGCAAGTTCCCTGGGTTCGAGGATTTCGACCCGGCCGTGGACGCATTGGAGATGATCAGACCCAGCTTTGGGTTGAAGGACGCGCTTCGTCTATGGAACATGCGGCTCACCGCGGTCATGAAGAAGTTGCAGCTCATGCCGCTGGTTACGGATCCGCAGATGTTCTGCAAGTGGCGGCACCCACCCACTCGCATCGAGCCGAAGATCAAGAGGATCAGTGTGAGCGACGTCGACGAGCCGCTCGTGAAGTTCAGCACCGACGAGAACCCTCTTCGTGACCTTGCCCTTCTGTGCAGCACGCACGTGGATGACGTGAAGGGCGCGGCGAAGCAGGAGGTGGCTGAGACGTTCATGGACGCATTGGAGGCCGAGTTCGGGGTGCTTCACACGCAGGCGGAGGACGGCGCGGTGAGCACGACGCAGGACCACTACGTCAAGCAACTGCACTTGCTGGGCATCGTTGCGGGATCTGCCGACGAGGACCCCTTCCGCAGGAGAGCAAGACGTCATTCTGGAGTCTTCTCGGGTGTGTGGCGTGGACTCTGGTCGCTCGTGCTGACGCTGTGGTGCACGTCGGTCATCTTCAGAGGAATGCGCGCGCACCGAATTGGAGACATGTTGGACAGTTGAACGCCGTGGTCAAGTGGCTAAACGCACACCGTGTACATTCGTTTACAGGGCTGTGCCTTTCCCGTGGTTGGTAGTCACCTTCCCGGATAGGGCTACAAAGCCCGATTGTCTGGCAGTTAGGGCTTCGATTGTTGTGGTAGTGCATTCTAAGTTTTTTGTGCAGAAAGGCGGCAAAGCGATAGTACCGGATTTCTACAGTAGGAAGCAACCTCGTGTGTGACGCTCCACTTTCAGTGCCGAGCTGGCAAGCCAGGATGATGGTATATCTTGCGCCCTGACTTGGCAAGTGATGCTCAACGAGATCGCATATGGACCGCTGACCGCAGCACAGATCCAGTGGAGCATGGACTCTGGACCGTTCCCGATTAGGCTACAGGCTTGCACGGACAACCGAGGGAGGACTCTTTCAGTCGGTTGGTGCCACAGAGCTCAAGCAGCCCGCTGAGCCTCAATTGATCTATCTGCTCAAAGCTTTGCGGGATCGGCTCGCGGCCGGTACGCTCGACGCGATTTGGTGAACGGACACGAGAGACATGATCAACGATATTTTAACCAGAGGGCCTCAGCCGGAACCAATCTTGAAGCTGTGGGCTGAGAGCCTTCTTGCCCTCTCGGGCGATCCTCCGGTGCAGCTTCCGATGGTCTGATCACGAGTCCAGAGACCGGCACAAAGAGCCAGGAGCCCAGAGCTCGGTTGCAGCTTGTACATTACTGCGCTGATTCCTCCCCCCCCGAGTTGCATAATACCCTTCAGGGGAGTCGTCGGGGGCTCCTCCATGTCATGTTTCATGAGCGTGTAGCATGGCAGGCACGTGGCACTCAGCAGGCATGGCGGGTAGGTACAGCTTTTCGGCCCTCTCAGTTGTACCCCCGTTCGTGGGCCACGTACGTGAATAGGACAGACAGAAGAGCGGGAACTTTATACTGTCACGGTTTCCGCCGGCGTTTGGCTCAAGGCACGGTTGAAGCGACAGCGCTCGACCCACCTTCCCCGCCGAAACGACAGCGCTCGGCAGTTTCACTCACCGTTCGCGTACATCATCCGGCGCTGCGGACGGACAATCAATTCCTCCTCCTCTTCCTCCTCCTCCTCCTCTTCCTCCTCCTCCTCCCCCTCCTCCACCTCCTCCTTCTTACTCCTTCCCCTCCTCCTCCTCCTCCTCCTCCTCCTCCTCCTCCTCCTCCTCCCTCCTCCTCCTCCTTCTCCTCCTCCTCCTCCTCCTCTTCCTCCTCCCTCCTCCTCCTCCTCCTCCTCCTCCTCCTCCTCCTCTTCCTCCTGCCCTCCTCCTCCTCCTCCTCCTCCTGCTCCTCCTGCTCCTCCTCCTCCCCCTCCTCTTCCTCTCCTCCTCCTCCTCCTTCTCCTCCTCCGCCTCCTCCTCCTCCTCCTTTTTCTCCTCCTCCTCCTCTCCTCCTCCTCCGCCTCCGCCTCTCTCCTCCTCCTCCTTTCTTACTCCTCCTCCTCCTCCTCCTCCTCCTCCTCCTCCTCCTCCTCCTCCTCCTCCTCCTTGCTCCTCCTCCTCCTCCTCCTCCTCCTTCTCCCGCTCCTCTTCGCTCCTCCGCCTCCTCCACTTCGCTCACCCCCGCGCCAGGAGCCAGAAGGAAACGGGGTCGAATGCGCGGGCATTCGCGCGCAAGCTGCCCGCGTAGGGTGTCGCATGGGCACGATGTGGCGTGCCTCGCGGGCGGCCCGCGCAAGCCACCGCGTGGGGTCTTCTCGCGTACTGTCAAGGCGCTGAAAGAAGGTCCATGTGTCAGAGGGGACACAAAGACCACCGCCACTGAGAACCCATCGGGGGGAACCAACCCCTGGGCGGTGACACGCCTGAGCGTCGTTTTGTGATGGATTGCGCTCGGGCGTGTCACCGCTCAGGGGTGAACCCCTACCGATGGGTTCTCGGTGGCGGTGATCCATGCTTCCCCTCTGAATGCGGGCCCTGGAGGGGCTCTGATTTCGGGACGCTCCTGCGATCCAGCTCAGGGAGCCCACTCGTGACCAAGGCTCGCCTTGGTCAGAGTGCCCCAACATAGATCCTGGCAGACGCAGGGACGAAGTGGCGAGCCGAGGAGCGCGAGGTCGGCTGCAGAGGACAAGGGCGAGAGCACGGCCATGTACACTTGCGTGCAGTTTGTTTCACGAGATCCTGGCCGTCCTCCTCCTTCCTCCTCCTCCTCTTCCTCCTCCTCCTCCTTCTCCTCCTCCTCCTCCTCCTCCTCCTCCTCCTCCTCCTCCTCCTCCCCCTCCTCTCCTCCTCCTCTCCTCCTCCTCCTCCTCCTCCTCCTCCTCCTCCCCCTCCTCCTCGCTCCTCGCTCCTCTTCTCCTCCTCCTCCTCCTCCTCCTCCTCCTCCTCCTCCTTCTCCTCCTCCTCCTGGTTCCTCGCTCCTCGTTCCTTCTCGTCGCTCCTCCACCTCCGCCATCCTCCTCCTCCCTCCTGCTCCTCCTGCTCCTCCTCCTCCTGCTCCTCCTCCTCCTGCTCCTCCTCCTCCTTCTCCTCCTCGAGCGTAGCCCGCGGAGCGCCACCGTCCTCGCAACAAACATGTAGCCCGAGTTGAGGCGAATTGCATACATTGTGAGGAAGTCTCTTGCGAAACGGCTGCCATCCGAAAGGTCTAGGGCGGCGGCCCCGGGCTCCCCGTCTCCCCTGTTGGATTCTTCTGTAGTCTCAAATCGGGCATGTTCCTCTACAGGAGGAGTATTCCAGAATAGTTTCAAGATTGTCAGGGGAAGAGGTTTCCAGGATTTTTGACCATTGTGAAATGCCCCAGAATCCGCCTGCAGGAGGACATGCCCGTGGCCACTTCTACCTCCGTTGGAAGACCCTCCGTTGGCTGCAAGACCCTTTCCTTCTCGTCGCCCAGGTGCGCTTCATCCGGGAGTACGACCCAGGCCAGCTGCGGCAGGCCGGCGCCTCCGCGGACGAGCTGCTCGGCCAGGCGGGCTTCGAGCGGCTTGCCCCGCGACCGGCGGAGGCCGAGGTCGGCAGCGCCCAAGCACTCCTTCACAGTCGGTGCTGCACATGCAGCGTGCAGTGCGGCGCCGCCGGCCCGCGCACACGTTGTCCCCCTCCTTGGGGACAGCTTGCACCGAAGAAGACCTGGCAAGGGACCGGCGCGCACAGAAGGGGCCCTCGCGGGGGGATCGGTGCTGCGCGCCGTCTCTGCAGCGGCAGGCGCACCACGTGTGCGTCTTCGTGGCAAGTCGTTCACACCAGGCGCTTTCGCCCAGTTTCGGGTCCCGGGGCCATGGCAGATCGATCAGGCTCGGAACATGCAGCAAACGCATGTGGTCCAGGGCTCCAGTCGTGATTGCTGGCGGTGCTGAAAACGTGCGCGACCGAAACGTCGGTGACCGAAAACGCCCCCGAAATTGCAACTGGAAGCGCAGTGCGACTGGATTTGCAAGCGAAGTTGAAAGTTGATTGGGTTTCGCAACATGCACGTCGGTCGCCCTCTGGCGCGTTCGGGAAATTTCGGGCGCCGGTTTCGGTCACACTCGGGCAGATGTTCGGGCACAGTTTCGGTTCTTGTCGCCGCCTGAGAGAGCTGGGGCTGCGTGAAAGATGGTTGTGCTACACTTGGATGAAAGGCACCGCCACACTAAACTCGTTTCGGCATACCCAAACGGGCATACCCATCACGGCCACACCCAAAAGGACCATTCACAACTCGTTCAGGCATGTTCAAAACAACTTGCCAACGTGTACCTCTCACGCACGCATAGCGACCCCACACGCACGCCTTACGCACGCAGGCCCAATTTGGCCTCCCAAGTATTATTTATTTATACATTCTATGTATAACAAGTGCGCTGGGCCTCCTCCTGGGGCGTCCTCCACCTCGCTCTCATCTCGTGTACGCTCCTGGTACCGCGCTTCCCGGCCTCCGGGGAAGGCTCCACAATGCCCAAAAACAGCCCAAGACGACCCCAAGAAGCTCCCACAACGTAAAGGAATTGCCCAAGACGCTTCCAAGCAACTCAGGGCAGCTTTCGGGTGGCTCTCCAGGCTCCCAGGAGGCCTCCAAGAGACCTCAAGAGAGCTTCAAGATGCCTCTCGAGAGCGCCCGGAAAACCTAAAATCGTTAATTGTATTTTTTTTTGTCCAGGGATTTTGGCCATCTCACCATTTCATGCTTCCGACGCTCCAAGACGGCCGAAGAGGCCCCCAAGACCGCCCCGAGACCACCCAAGAGGTCCCAAGACGGCCAGGACAGCTCCAGACCACCCCAGAACAGGCCCAAGATGAGCCCAAGAGCGGGAGCAGGAGACCTCCAGAGACCTCAGAGGACTCCGGGACCCCCCAGAGGCCTTCAACACGCCCCAGACCCCTGAGAGGCTCCCAAAAAATCCTGGACGAGGCCTCCAAAACAGCCTAAGAGAGCTTCGATAGCCGTCCCGAGAGAGCCCGAAGAGGGAAAAATCGTTGCTTCCCAGTGGTTTTGCCGACGCGTAACGCCTTCTCACGTTTTCCCGCATCCTACGCGCCAAGACCGAGGAATCTTAAACCACAAAACAGAACCAAATATTTGTTTTTCAGGTTAGGACTGTTACTCCCTATCCTCTTCCTCGAGCCCCATCAAGACTTCGGGGTCACATGCAAAAATGTTTCGGGAGGCTGTTGAACTCTCTGACGCTGTCTTGGCACTTTCTTGGATCGTCTTCGTCTCCTCTTGGCTGCTCCTTAAACCATTGTAGAATTAGAGATCCCATGATCCCATGAGTTGAAGCAGTGGAAGTTTAGAATTCCTTTTTTCCAAACTCACCCCCTGCTCATTTTTGAACGGAGACCCCGAGAGGCATCCCAACGAAGCGTGGCCTACATGCAGAACACGTCTAACCCACAGCCAGGCACTACAACTTGACAAAAGGGAATCCCACCATTCCGTTTTTTCCAAGTTCTAGAATTTCAATTTCCCAATCAATGAAAGCCCCGTGGTGATCGGTATCGTTTAACCGATCCCCATCCCCATCCCCATCCCCTTCGAGACGCTCACGAAATTACCACCCCAGTTGGGATACACCCCTCGAAATACAAAGGAAACGGCCTATATCCCCATCGGGGGTGGGGTAAATCGGCCAGTGGGGCCCAGGCCACGCCGCTGGGGATGGGGATCGGTTGAACGATACTCAGCTATACGTCCGGTTACGGCGCCTCCGAAGCGGGCGCACAGCACGTTGTACGTCCTTCTGCTTCCCACGAGGGGGAGCACGCCGCGGCCAGCTTCGACTACCTCCTGGGTCTCCCGTTCCACGCGCTATCGCCCGAGCGGGCGGAGAAGCTGGAGGCCGTCAGTATCGTTTATCCGACCCCCATCCTTCCTCACCCCCTTCGAGACCCCCACCAAAGTGCCACCCCAGTTGGGGATACACCCCTCGAAACCCGAAGGGGACTGCCTATATCCCCATCCAGGGGGGTAGATCGGCCAGTGGGGCCCAGGCCACGCCGCTGGGAATGGGGATCGGAGAAGCGATACTCAGGCCGATCTCCGGGACACGGAGGAGCGGCTCGCGGCGCTGGAGCAGACCTCCGAGGACAGGACGTGGATCGGCGACTCCAAGACAGGGGAGAGACTCGGCCAGGCTGAACTCGGCCCGGGCCGGAATCGGCACGGGCCGAGTTCAGCCTGGCCGAGGTCCGCCTGGCCGAGTTCAGCCTGGCCGGAGTCAGCCTGGCCGAGGTTCGCAGGGCCGAGTCTCGCCTGGCCGAGTTTCGCCTGGCCGAGTTGTTAGTTGCTGCCCAACATGGGCGCATAGTACTGGTACGGTAGGTTCACGTGGCGCCGGCGACGCCGGCGAAGGCGCTCCAGGTTGAATTCTGCGACGCGGAAGCACCCAGGGGCCCAGTGACGCCTCTGGACCCGACGGAATCCAAGCTGGAGCGATCGGGGCCGCGATCGGTTTGAGGCTGAACAGTCGACGCGGTGTTGAGACCTCCTGTGCGCGCCGACGCCGCGCGAACTTGCCGTACAGTGGTGGCCCATGCCAACAAGCACCGTGCTTGCCTCCAGGGTGCCCCAAATTTCTAGGGCCTTGATGATTATGCGATGGAGGGCGCGACGTTCCCACACCAAAACTCTATGGACGTCCTGGGATCTCAGAGTTGGGTTTCTTGTGGACGGCTTCTTGTGGTGGCCTCCACAGTATGTCCTCTTGCGCCCCAACCCGTCGCCCGCCCTCCCGCGCGCCCCTCCCGTGGGCGGCGGGCGCTCGCGGGGCGCAGGCGGCGTGGCATTGTTCGGACGCGTGCATGTTTTTTTGGCTCGGCGAGGACCCTCGAGGAGCCTCCTGGATCCTCGAGCGAAAATTATATGGTGTGTGTATATATATATATATATCCCATATCCCGGGGCACGACGCCTGGGCGCCCGGGGCCGCTGCCTCGAGGGGGCATGAGAGTACCGGGCGTCGGTTTCACTGTGTTTTTACAGGGTTTCGGCGTCCCGGAACCAACAGGGCCCCAAGAGGCTGCCGCAGCAATGGCTCCAGACGCTTTTCAAGACGACTCCCATGACGCCAAGAAGGCCCCCGAAGGCCCCGAAGACGCCCCAAGAGGCACGCCGAGAGAGTCCAATGAGCAAAACTCGCCGATTTCCTGTGGGAAAACTAATATTTTTTGCGTGTTTACCTTTTGGGCGTCCACTGCGTCCAAGACGGCCCCAGAGGCACCCAAGCCGGTCGAGGATGCCCCCAAGAGGGCCCCAAGACGGTCCACGAGGGCGCCAAGACGGCCCACGAGGCGCCCAAACCGCCCAAGAACGCCCCAAGGCGGCGCCCAAGACGGGGACGAGGACCTGGAAATTCTGGCCTTTTGGCTCAAGAGACCCTAGGAGACCCCAAGACGCTCCAAGAAGGGGCCCAGAAGCTCCAAGAGGCCCCCATGAGACCCGAGAAAACAGCAAAAGAGGCCCCGAAGACGACACGGCCCTCTACAGTACAGGAGGAATATTCAACAAAAGTCAAGCAATAGTCTGAGGTCGATTTTTGATCATTGTTGAGCATTGTTGGTCTAGTTTTTGCGTATTTTCTCATTGTCCGCCCAAAATCCGCCCGTAGGGGGACAGGCCGACCTGAGATGAGCACCAGGTGGCGCGAGGCGGCCCTGCGCCGAGATTAGCTCGGGAGGGCTGCGCGCACCCCTCCTCCTCCCTCCTCCTCCCTCCTCCTCCTCCTCCTCTTCCTCCTCCTCCGCTTCCTCCTCTTCTTCCTCCTCCACCGACCTTAGCCGAGCCGGTCCTGGGACCCAGGATCGCTGGACACGCCTTCCTGGCGAGAGCCAGAGGGACGGCGGGTGCACTGGCTTCTTTGGGTCGGGGGCGGCCAAGAGGGTGTGGATGGGTATCATGGCAGGGGCCATGATGTCTCCCCACGTTTCATGGCGCCTCTTCTTATTTCATTGCGTCCCCGCTCCCCCACCCCACCCTTGGGCCGCGCACAATCCGCCGGCCATGATTTGCGCCCCCCCTTTCGGACGCCCCCCTCTTGGCCGACCCCGACGGGGGGGCCCCCGATTTGGGGCCGAGGGATCGGCCAGGCCGGCATCGGCGTCGCAATAGTATCCCCACCAGCCCATCGAGAGACAGTTCCCCTGGGAGCTATTTGGAGGAGGGGCGCAGTTCCCAGACCCCGACGTCATGATTTTTTCATGACGTCGACCCCCCGAGGTCTTAACCGATTCCCCGCGTCCCGTCATGATTTGTCCCAACCATCTTGTGGTGTTGGGTCCTCGTTTTGAAGAGACAGCGCCCCGCGTCCCTCCTCTCCTCTCCTCTCCTCTCCTCTCCTCTCCTCCTGCCCCTCCTCCTCTTCCTCCTCCTCCTCCTCAGGTCCTCCTCCTCCTCCTCCTCCAGCCCTTTCTGGCCCGAGTCGGGTCTGCAGGGGTAGAAACATTGGGAAAGGGCTATTTTTCTCCTGCGAGCCAAGCCTTGGCTTCTGGGTGTCCTGGGTGGCGTCCCGTGGATTCCTGGACTATAAACGGGTGCTGCGGCCAGGTTCGCCTTACTTCCGTCACGGCGCCGCCATGTCGCGCCGCCTCGCTGCTGACCAAGATAGGCCCAAGACGGCCCGAGAGGCCCCCCAAGGCACTCCACGACGCTTCAAGACGCCTCTCCAGAGCGCGAGGAGGAGGGGGTGGGGCGGGTAAGTGGTTAGGGGTGCGGATCGCCGCCGCTGGACTCTTCCGGTCGCCTGCCTGCCAAATCACCTATCGTTTGCGGCGTCGTCTTGGGGACCTCTTGGGCCGTCTTGGGGCCATCTTGGACCGTCGCGGGGCCGTCTTGGGGGCCCCTTGGGCCGTCTTGGGGCGGTCTTCGGGGCCTCTTGGGCCGTCTTGGAGCGTCGGAAAGCCCAGAAGGCGAATTTGTGAACATTGTACGTTTTACGAAGGGAATAAGCAAATTGTTGCGTCCAGGGACCCTCTTGGGACGCATCTTGGAGGCCTTTTGGGGGCGTCTTGGGCCATCTGGAGGCCATCTCGGGTGTCTTCGATGGCTATTGGACCGTGTGGGACCATGTTGAGCTTTCTTGGAAGCCACTTGGAGCGCTCCTGGAGCGCTCTTGGGGCCGTCTTCGGGGCTCTCTTGGGCCGTCTTCGGCGCCTCTTGAGCCGTCTTGGCGCCTTCTTGAGCTGTCTTGGGGCCATCTTGGAGGCTTCTTGGGCCGTCTTGGGGCGGTCTTGGGGGCCTCTTGGGCCGCCTGGGAGCGTCGGAAAGCCCAAAAGGCGAATTTGTGAAACATGCACGTTGAAGGGAACGGGCTAATTTTTGCGTCTAGAGGCCCTCTTGGGACGCATCTTGGATGCCTCTTGGGGCCTCTTGGGGGCATCTTGGGCCGTCAGGAGGCCATCTTCGGTGTCTTTGATCGCTCTTGGACCGCCTGGGACCATATTGAGCTCTCTTGGAGGCCACTTGGAGCGCTCCTGGAGCGCTCTTGGGGCCGTCTTCGGGGCCCTCTTGGGCCGTCTTGGACGCCTGTTGGGCCGTCTTGGGGCCCTCTTGGGCTATCTTGGGACCCTCTTAGAGGCTTCTTGGGCCGTCTTGAGGCGGTCTTCGGGGCCTCTTGGGCCGTCTTGGAGCGTCGGAAAGCCCAGAAGGCGAACTTGTGAACATTGTACGTTTTACGAAGGGCATGGGCAAATTTTTGCGTCTAGGGACCCTCTTGGGACGCATCTTGGAGGCCTCTTGGGGCCTCGTGGGGACCTCTTGGGCCGTCTTGGAGGCCTGTTGGCTCGTCTTGGGGCCATCTTGGCCGTCTTGGAGCGCTCGTTTGGCGTCTCGGGGCCCTCGTGGGCCGTCTTGGAGGCCTCTTGGAGCCTTCTGGGCCCGTCTTGAGGCCCTTCTGGGCCTAACAAAGTCCCGTGATGCGCTCGTACTCGGCCCGGGGGGGGGGGTCAAATCTCCGGTTTGGGGTCCCTAGTGGGGGGGGATTATGGGGGGGGAAACTATCTCACACGCCTAGAGACCCACAAGGGGTCGGCGGATTTCCCGGTGGGGGGTCTCCGTTTCATTGCGATCTCACCCCCCCAACCTCCGATAAATAACGTCCACGACGGCCTCAGAGAACCTCAAGAGCGCCGCAAGAAATCCCAACAAGGCTTCCAAGACGGCCCAAGAAGCTCCCAGGATCGCCCCAAGACGCCACACAGAGCCCTCCAAGACGACCTCCGTAGGCGCCTGTGGATCCCAGAGCGCTCTGAGACAGTCCAAGAGGCCCACAAGACACCTCACTCCGCACCCCTCCCCGCTCCTCCCAGATCGTTCCCATTCCTCCCCATCCCTCCCGCTCCAGGCAAGTGTGCGCGAGGCGGTTGCGTCTCTGGCCGTGAGATCCTGCCAGTGCATACCTACATGTACGACCACCCTTCGGGTGATAAGGAGGTTGTGTGTGGTGGTGGGGGGGAGGAAAAGGGGTACCAACTGGAGCTACAACATGGCATTGCATCGCACAGCAGAGCATAACATAGCATCGCATAGCATCGCACAGCACTGCATAGACGAGGATCGCGTAGCATAGCATAGCATCGCATAGCATGTCATAGCATCGCATCGCATCGCATATAATAGCAGGTCATCGAATGGCACAGTACGGCGTAGCTTCGCATAGCATCGCATCGCACAGCATAGCATCGCACCGCACCGCACCGCATAGCTTAGCATCGCATTGATAACATAGCGTAGCATTGTACAGCATGGCACAGCACAGCACCAGCACAGCATCGCACAGCACCAGACACGACGGGACACCGCGGGACACCCCCAGGCCACCGCCCGCCGGCCGACAGGGAGGGACACCACGGAACACCGCGGGACATCCCAGTTGGCCCGGTTTTGCCCTACGGTAGGTTCGCGTCGTGTCGACCGGCGGCGACCCCGCCGCCGACGTTCAACGTTGAACGCCGACGGCGGCCCAGAATCGGTCGGTGTTGAACGATCGGACGTTGCGGAGACGGCCGATCCTTCAAGGTTGAACGATCCATCGCGGTGTCGGGAACCAACGCCGGGGTCGACACGACACGAACCTGCCGTAAGCACGGATGGTTCTTTCCTCTCGCCTTCCGACGCAGGTTCGCCGCGCCCACACGCGCGACACGAACACGAAACCGAGAACGATTTCCTGGCGGGGGGCTCCTGTGCACTTCGATCTCTTTTCCAACCTCGGATTCTGTCACACCACGGGACACCGCGGGATACACCCAGGCAACCACTGGCCAACGGGGCGCAGCAACATTTTGCTCGGTTTTGCCTAAGCACGGCGGATTCATTCATCTCGCCCGCCGACGCAGCTTCGCCTCGCCCACACGCACGACACGAAACCGAAAACGATTTCTTGGCGGGGGGTCTCTTGTTCACCTCGATCTCTTTCCCAACCTCGGATTAGATCTGCTTGCTGTGGAGACAATCGCTCCGCTTGGCCCCTCCGTCCTCCCCGTCCTAGGGCTCGAGGACGGCCCAACAGGACCCCAAAAACGGCCCCAGAGGTTCCGGAGTCCGCCCAAGTGGGTCCCAAGAAATCCCAACGGGTTTGCAAGAGAGGGCCAAGATAGTCCGCTGGGCCGTCTTTGGACGGGCTTGGAGCGTCTTGCGGCCGTTTTGAGGCGGTCTTTGGCTCAGGGCGCCGTGGAGCCTTGGAGCAAAGTGCAGAGGGCGCGATTTTGTGCGGATGCGCGCGGCAGGGGGGCGTCACTCCCAGAGAACAGCAGAAACATTCCCCGAAAGCCAAGAAGCCTTCTCACAGGGCCCCAACGTGCCTGCGACAGGGTGGCGGAGTTTCATTGTTGGTGTTCGAAGTTTCAGAAAGGGAATTGGTCGGCGCCTCAGTATGTGTGCCGTTCGCGCCAAGGCGCGTCAGGCTGCAATGCTGGCTTGCAGGTGACGTCCGCCTGCCGTCATCCCAGTGTATTTGATGCATTTCTTTACTTTCAAGAGCTGGTCGCTCCACCTTGCGCGCACATCCTTGGGCAATCGACCAGATAAGTGCGCGCGAGGTGGTTGTGTCTCTGGCGCGAGACCCAGCAAGTGCAGCTTCTTTCGTTTCACCGCGGAGAGCGACGGCAAGGCGCGCGGAGAACCCCCGAGGACAGCATGTGGATCAGCGACCTCGACGACTTCCGCGAGGCCTACCGCAGGGAGCACGGCCTGGCGCAGGGGAGCGGGGAGCGCCGCAGGAAGATCGCAGGAGAAAAAGACGGCATGAGCTTTAAGTCGGGCCTGTCCCGCTACAGGAGGAATGTGCAAAAATAGTCTAAATTAGTCAGGGGGCCATTTTTTGAAATTGTTTTGGATATTGTGGAGTATTTGCAGCTCTCGCGAGGGCGCGAAGTTCTTCGCACTTCACGCTTCGCGGTCCTCGTTCCTTCTCCTCCTCCTCGTCCTCCTTTTCTCCCTTTGGGGGGGGGCGCGAGAGCGCGAAGTTATTCTCGCTTCGCGCTGCGCGGAGCGCGAAGCGCGAAGTTGGGAGCCTTAGAAGAAGAGGGCACGAGCTCGAACGCTCGGAGGTCCGCGCAGGCTTCCTGGATCGGAGCCGGGAGTCCCCTGGCGGCGCCGCCCCTGGCGGGGAGGGGGGTACAGAGCCGATCCAAGAAATCCGCGCGGGCTCATGTTGGTGTTCATGATTTGTGCCCCCTCGTCCCAGGAAGGCGCAGACTCCAGCCTTCCCCGCGGCCGCCGGCAAGGAGTGGGAGGAGGCGCAAAGCTTGTTCGACCGCGGCCGGCGGAAGTCGAGGCCGAGCCGCCCTCCAGCGCCCAAGGCGCAGGCGAAGCGGATGACCAGGACAGGGTCCGTTTCGGTCCGGTCGATCGGATTCGATGCCGATTCCGGTCGTCCCGATCCAGCTCGATTCCAACATACTTGCGATCCGATGGAGCTTGAGGTTTGCACGGCGCTGTGGTGCATCCCGTTGCGGCCGATCCTATTCGATCTCGACTCCATGCCGATGCAGCCCGATGCGACGCACGTGTCACACGTCGATTGGCTCCGACGTTCCGAGTCGATGCCGGCTGATCGTGCCAGTACCCCGACTGAGCTGCAGAAGATGAGCCACACGCAGCTCAACTTGGTGATTCGCGAGTGCGGCCTCAGACGGGGAGGGCAGAGGGAGCGCACAGGGCCAGACCTCGGGGTGCCCCGGCGGGGGGGGGGCGGCGAGGCGCAGCCGCTGGAGTTGGGAGACAACGCGCTGCACAAGCATGAGCATTCGGAGGTCCGCGCGGACTTCTCGCATCCGCGCGCGAGCCCCTTGGCGGCGCCGCTGGCGCCGCCCCTGGCGCCGCAGGCGCGCCAGGGAGGGGGGTCCAGCGCCGATCCAGGCAGCTCGCGCGGACCTCCAAAAGTCTGCGTGTGCGTGTGTGGTGTCGCGACGTGCTGCTCTGCTGTGGAGGGCACCCCGAGGCCAGGATATCGCCGAGGCGCGACGAAGGCGCCCCCTTCCCGGGGCCCCTCCCCCTCCGCCTCCGCCTCCGCCTCCTGCTCCTCCTCCTCCTCCTCCGCCTCCTCCTCCTCCTCCTCCTCCTCCTCCTCCTCCTCCTCCTCCTCCTCCTCCTCCTCCTCCTCCTCCTCCTAGCCGCCGCGAAGGGCTCAGGAAGTGCGCTCGGCCGCGACCAGCGCACTCACTTCCCCTGACGGCGCGCCCCTCTTCTCGCAGAGGCCAGGTGGGGGAGGGGCGGAGCGGATCGTCATACCTAATACACTCGGGCGGCCAATGCCATGCGCATCATCTCTTACAATCCTCTCTCTGCCAGTTCGGTCGAGCGTCTCTCGGACATCAGCACGGAACTACGGACGTGGGATGTCGTACTTGTGTGTGGCACGGGTGAGATGACGAGCGCAGAGATATCTAGGTGCGTGACGCTCCCTAGCCATTGGTGTAGAGGGAGAGTGACAACGAATCTGAAAAGATTCGTTGTCGGGTGGGGGGTCGTTCACCCTCTTTCGTCTCTTAACCGTTGAAGGGAAAAAGAAAAAGAGAGGAGGAAGTGAAGGGAGGGGAGGAGGAAGGGAAGGGAGAGGGAGGGAGGAGGAGGAGGGAATAGCAAGGGAAAGGAGGAGGAGGAGGAGGAGGGAGGAGGAGGAGGAGGAGGAGGAAGGAGGAGGAGGAGGAGGCAGCAAGTACGAGCCGTACTGAGGAGCGCTCCCACGGCTACGCGGTGAGCAGCACGACAGAGAGCGCCGCTCTGCGCGAGCGCCACCCGAACGGCGGCGACGCCGACGACGACGACGACGGCGGCGGCGGCGACGACGACGACGACGACGGCGACGACGACGACGACGGCGACGGCGACGACGGCGACAGCCTCTCTCTCTCCCTCCCTCTCTCTCTCTCTCTCTCTCTCTTTATCGTTATCTCTTCTTCCCGTTCCTTCTCTCTTCCTCTTCTTTTCCTCTCTTCCCCTCTCTCTCTTCCTGCCTCTCTCTTCTTCGCTTCCCCCCTGCTTTGCTTGCTGCACCGTGCCTGGGTTGTGAACCAGCCTCAGCTCTAAACATCGAGGCGGAAAGGATTCCGCTCTGCTCGAGGACACAGCCGCTGCGCCGTGCCTGGGTTGTGGAACAGCTTCTGCGACGGGACAGCCGCTGCGCCGTGCCTGGGTTGTGAGCCAGCTTCAGCTATCATTATCATATTCTTCATAGTCGTTATCGTTATCATTATTCTCCTCTTCCCCGTCCTCGCCGTTTGCCATGAGTGGTTCAAACCTACAAGCCGAGAGATCTAGTCAACTGCTTGTTGACCGTTGCTTCTCACCCATTATTTTTGCAACCGTTGCATATGCAATTCTTGGCCAGTGTCAACCGCTGGTTGACCGTCGCGGACAGAGAGATTGTTTCCTTGCTATCGAAAAAAATACAACGCCTGAGCCGCCGATTCGACGTCTTAACAACCTGCAACAGTTACGCGGATGGAGGCCGGTCGGTTTTCAATCCGAGGCTCTCGCTTGGGTGCCGCGAACATTCGCTTTCAAAGTCTGCTTCTTCCTCCCTTCCCTTTCCCTCCCTTCTCCCCCTCCCTCCCTCCTCTCCATTGTCATTGCATGAGGTTTAGTATTGTTTTGCCATTGCTCGAAGAACAGGGAGCCCGCGAAAGTCTCTGAGACACAGACGCAACAGGAAATCAACATAAAATCTACTACGCATATCAAACTCCCGCTCAAGGGAGCCGCGCTTGCTTTCTGCGGCAGGAAGAGCCAGGTTGTTGTGTTTGATATAACGAAGGGCAATTTTTTTGCAATTGCTTGAACCACGGAGAGCTCGCGACAGTCTCTGGGAGACAACTATTCATCGTAGTAGTAGTAGTAGTAGTAGTAGTAGTAGTAGTAGTAGTAGTAGTAGTAGTAGTAGTAGTAGTAGCAGTAGTAGTAGTCGTGGTAGTAGTAGTAGTAGTAGTAGTAGTAGAAGTAGTAGGAGTAGTAGTCGTGGTAGTAGTACTAGTAGTGGTGGTAGTGGTAGTGGTAGTGGTAGTGGTAGTAGTAGTAGTAGTAGTAGTAGTAGTAGTAGTAGTAGAAGTAGTAGTAGGAGTAGTAGTAGGAGTAGTAGTCGTGGTAGTCGTGGTAGTAGTACTAGTAGTGGTAGTGGTAGTGGTAGTGGTAGTGGTAGTGGTAGTAGTAGTAGTAGTAGTAGTAGTAGCAGCAGTAGTAGTAGTAGTAGTAGTAGTAGTAGTAGTAGTAGTAGTAGAGAGACAAGAGAGGTAGACAGAGAGAAAGAGAGACAGAGAGAGAGATGGAGAGATAGCGATTGAGGGAGAGAGAGAGAGAGGGGAGAGACAAAAACGGCGGGAAGAGGGGGGAGAGGAGGGGTGAAGTAGGAGAGGGAGAGGGAAGGGCCGCTGCCACCGGGCTCAAATTGAGTAATTTTGTTGTGGGTTTGTGTAACCGGCACCGATACACTGGCGCCAGTTTCTGCATGATGATGGATTTGGAGATAGCGCGCCCAGCACCTGCGATGGAACAGAGCCGCATTGAGCAGTCATTGCCATATCGCAAACTTATTCTGTCAGACTTACACCAGCCGGTTCCCAGCGGTGATGAGAACGCAGCAGCGTTGGAAGCTCGATTGACGACAGCAACTTCGAATAACGTTCAATGGCTGAAGGCAGGTGGCGCACATGGGCCGCTTTTCGACATCACGGGCTTCGATACTGAAGGAGATGATAACAGTCCGTATACGACGTACACGCAGATGCCAGAGCTTCAAGGAGTGACGTTGGGATTGGTCATGTGGGGCTCCCCTCATTGGTCAGATTCGCCAGATGGCACTACGCAGCATTTCAGAGACTCCAACACATTCAAAACGGACGCGTTCGAGTCGATGTCATGGCTCAGTGGGTCAGCCTTCATCATCGAGACATTCCCCAGTCGATACGGACCCGAGTTCTGGCATCCTGCGCATAACAAGAAGGGCGTTGCGGATACGCGTGCCAAGCGCAGTTTACTTGTGACAGAGGGTTTCTTTCGTGAATACAGACCTCTGGGGTCAGGGGCTGAGTTTCGATTCCTTCAAGATGAGAGCGAAGCAACCATGGTTGCAATGTTGGTGCCGCAGAGATTCTCTCAGTGCGTGATGTGGAAGGGTCACCAAGTCGACGTAGGGATGACGCTAATCCACATTATGAACAATCTGGAAGATCAAGAGCGCGCGCTGGAACTTGGCGGGCAACATTATGGCCTTTCTTACGAGATGCACCTCGCGCGGCAAGATCTGTCGGTTGCTTGAAGTGTTGGCGAAATTACATCCACGTGTTCGTTAAGTGTCAACTGATGGTTGACCGACTATGTCTCCGCTGTAGTTACCGTTATGCACAATTTCATTTGAGTGTCAACTGCTGGTTGTCCGCGTCTGTTTCCGCTGTAGTTACTGTTGTGTATTGTTCCATTCATGTGTCAACTGATGGTTGACCGATCATGCCTGCGTTGCGCGTGGTAATACTCTGCGTTCGTTGCGCACCTGTATAGAGTGTCAACTGCTGGTTGACCATTTTTGGCAACGCGCGACGCGATGCACGGACAAATGCAAAAGGGGGGAGAGGGAGAGAGCAAGAGAGAGGGAGGCAGAGAGAGAGAGAGAGAGAGAGAGAAACAAAAAAAGGGAACACATGATCACGAGATAGGAAGAGACGAAAGAGGGCGGTTGGTTTTCCAATATGCGCTCCTCGCCTTGGCGCCGCGAACATTCTTCGCCTTCAAGGTTTGCTTCTCCCTCCCTCCCTTTTCCCCCTTTTCTCCTCCTCCTCCTTCCCTCTTCGCCATTGCCATTGCATGAGGGCTATTGCGTTGCGATTGACTGAAGAGCGGAGAGCCCGCGACACTCTCCGAGAGACAACCAGACAACCACTCATAGTAGTATTAGTAATAGTAGTAGTAGTAGTGTTGGGATTATTATTATTTGTAGTAGTCGTAGGTTATTTTGTGTTCCGCCGCAAAGGGAATCCTTTTGTATTCTACCTCAAAAGGAATCCGTTTGTATTTGCTATACATAGGATCCTTTTGTCTGCCGCAACAAAGATAATCCTTTTGTATTCTGCAACAGAGGAATTCCTTGTGTATTCATATACAAAAGGATATATACACAAGGATTCCTTTTGTAATTGCTAGAGGTGCTGGAACCATTGTGTTTTCACAGTTTTCAGAGAATCCCAATTAAAATCATTAGTTTCGTATGTGCCTGCAGAGAGATTCAGAGAATTTTAATTGAACATATTGTTTTTTTATGGCCAGGCACAGAGATCACAGAGATTTTAATGATTTTCCAACTATGGAGAGTGGTTTTAATGAAAATTCTGTGAAAACACAAGGGTTCCATTGTTTTTCTAATCAGAAATCAAAGGAAACCTTGTGTTTTCACAGAGTTCGCATTAAAACCACTCTCCATAGTTGGAAAGTCATTAAAATCTATGTGATCTCTGTGCCTGGCCATAAAAAAAAACAATACTTTCAATTACAATTCTCTGAATCTCTGCGCAGGCACATACGAAACTAATGATTTTAATCGAAATTCTTTAAAAAGCTGTGAAAACACAATGGTTCCAGCACCTCTATCAATTTTAATAGGATTCCCTTTGTGGCGGAATACAAAGGGATTCCTTTTGTGGCGGAATACAAAGGGATTTCCTTTTGTGGCGGAGTACAAAAGGATTTCCTTTGTGGCGGAATACAACGGGATTTGCTTTTGTGGCGGAATACGAAGGGATTCCTTTTGTGGCGGAATACAAAGAGGTTCCTTTTGTCGAGGAATACAAAGGGATTCCTTTTGTGGCGGAATACAAAGGGATTTCCTTTGTGGCGGGATACAAAGGGATTTCCTTTGTGGCGGAATACAAAGGGAGTCCTTTTGTGGCGGAATACAAAGGGATTCCTTTTGTGGCGGAATACAATGGGATTCCTTTTGTGGCGGATTACAAAGGGATTCCCATTGTTGTGGAATACAAAGGAATTTCTTTTGTGGTGCAGTACAAAAGAATTCCCTTTGTAGCGGGTTCCCACCCCTCACATCCCAAGGACGACCCCCCACCCCGCAACGAATGCAAAAAGCTTTGTTGTAGGTCACTCTGTTGGTGTATTCGAATGGGTGCGCGCAAAGGACGGTTTGTCACGAAAGCCTGCGGCATTGCAATCCTGGTGCACAAAAAATACCCGACCCACTGCTTGAGAGATATCTACCAACCCCCTGGACTTCTGCAGGGACGAGTAGGAGGAATTAAACTTGCGCTGTCCTCCTGCGAAGTGGCTCTCTTCTCGACATATTACGCACCTACGCATGTCAAGAACTATGGGGAGGTGGGGAGGCGTATTAGTGAGTGGTTGGAGGGAACGACGGACAGGCTAGGAGCACGTACGCTGACGGTCATTGGGGGGGGGGGATATCAATGCCGACTTTGGGCTTCACCGTGCCAGCGACGGGACTGTCCAAAAAACGGTTTCGAGTTGCCTGGGGCCCCACGCGCCAGCGTTCGAGAATGACAACGGACAGCACTTTCTTCAGTTCTGCCAAACCAGCGATTTCATCGTGGCTACCACAACCCACGACCCTGGCCCTACTTTCTTTGGCCCCAAGGGAAGGGCAAACCGAATCGACCACTTAGCTATCCCGCAGGGCGCAGCTCACCTGGTCCAGAAATGCACAGCGCTCCGCACGTCTGGGAAGCGGCTGCAGCTTATCCAAGCTAAAGGCTCGCGTGACCATGTGCCGATTGGGTTGGTCATCGATGAGCGGATCAGACATGCCCCGGCCAGTCGACTGAAGCCAAAGGGCCGACTCGACAGGGACCAGCTCATGTCTTGTTTGAGGAGAGGATATAAAGGCAGGAGGTGCTGGATAGGATCGAGGAGGAGCTGAGCAAGATAGAGGAGGAGGAGTGGAGGGAGCTGCTAGACGGACCGACCCCAGATCGAGCGTGGCAACGGTACAGGGAGGCAGTCAGGACTGCAGTGCAACAGATCTTCGGTGCCCAGCGCCAGAGGGAGGATGTGTGTTACCGTGCTATGCAGTCACAACGGGTGGAACTGTTGGCACAGAGACGCACTATCAGACAGCGCTTGGGCCCTGGGATCCCCGACGAGCAGCTCGAGCAAGCGAAAGCGCAGCTAAAAGATGTCACATTTGTGCTAAAGCAGATCAGAGAGAGCTATGAGACCCAGCGAACAGCCCGGCTGGTCGAGGAGATTTGGGAAACGTCAGGGCGGGGGGATTTCGCCGAGATGCACCGATTTAGGATCCAGTACCAGGCGAACGGTCGCGGGCCCAAGCGCAGATTCTTCTTTGCCCCTCGCACGCACTGGTCTGCCGAGCAGTGGGCGAACGAGCTGGCGAAGAGCCCGCGCGAAGGAGGCCTCAGCGCGCAGGTCATAGATTTGGACCAGCAGCTGCTATAGAGGGAAGCACACTACTCCCAACAATTGCCACTCCCAGTAGACAGCGACCTCCGTTGCCGAGCTGCTGAGGACCACGCTGCTATGCTACGCTATCGCAAAAAAAGGCCAAAAAGAGAAGGGCATGGCCTGCATGGTCTTACTAGACCCTTGAATCAACCTAGGTGATCCGACAGTGTCAGGGGCGCAGGCACGAGCGACGAGGGAGGAGGAGGATACGCAGCGCACCATCGAGCGACGGTTGCAGAAGGGGAGGGCACTACTGGAGCGGTTGGGATGGACAGGGGGAGGCTTGGGGAGGAGAGGAGGTGCACCGACGGAGCCCGCCAACTTAGTCAATAACTACACAGTGGGATGGGGGCCCAGAGCTGGACTTGGAGTTACACAGCGGGGACAAGGCAACCACGCGGCGGCGAGGGGACTCATGGATGTGCTGATTACGTGTCGAAGTACCCAGACCGCCCCCCTTGCGTGGCATAGGTCCAAGGCGTTCGGAGCAGATAAGAACAACGGACGACAGGGTGTATTAGGAAAGCGCATCATGCACGCGCACTGCAGTGTAGGCAGGTCGTGGCACGCGGGCAAACACAGACGTGGCGCGCCATTTCAGCATGCAGCGTGGGCGCAGGGCGGGCTACCGGACCGGTGTCGGGAGAACGCTCTTGCCACGCTGATGACGACGAAATGGAAGGCTGAGCAACTAGGATACAGCTCTGCGTACACCAACTATGATTGCTCTAACGCGTTTGCCTCTATACGGATAAGCGCCTCCTGCATGCAGTTGCCTTCAAACAAGCTGATGAATGGGACCGAGTGCACTCTGTGGGGGCCATCGACATGACAGCTATGACGATAGAAACACCCACGGAAGCCGTCACAATGGAAACCCTCTCGGGAGCCCAGATGGGCTTCACGTTGGCACCGAGGCAATTCGTTGACAGCTACAACCTATACGTGCAACAATGGAACGACGGCGCGCGAGGCGATCCTACGCAAAAGCTACGCGACACCCAGCACCCTATTACCCACCAAGTGCACGACCTCAGCCTCAACACATGCATGGACGATATCACAAAGACTCACATCCGCCCAGCTGGAGCGTCAGCGACCCACGTCGCTGCCCACCTGAACCAGGCCACGCAAGAGCTCGAGACAACACTAGCCAAGGGCAGCTGGAAGCTCAACCCCACCAAAACCAACCACCTCCTCTGCCTCCGAGGCCAGGGGAGCTACAGCTGCACCCGCAAGTTGCGCCGTTCAAAGGAGCTGAAGGGCATTTCCCTTAGGGAAATGAGGGTGCTGGGGCCGTCGATCCCGTCAGATCAGGGCATCGCGGGGGAGATCAAGAAACGGTGCGACGCGATCCGCCTAGCCTGGAGGCAAGGCGGCACCTTCTGGAGCTCCAAGAACAGCTTCGCAGTCAAGCGAATGACGTTCATTGCGTTTGTGTTCGGAGCTGGCCTCAGCGGATTAACGGCGATGGTACTCAGCCCACGTCACACTGCTACTCTAGATGCGGTGATCGGCAAATATTTGCGCACGCTCGCCCGGGGCAAGATGTCGTGGACACGAGCGGACGGCACAGTGCGATGTTACAGCGCAGCCCGCGCGTTCAGGGAATGGAGGCAAGAGATGACAGAAGACGCTCTACGGGGACGGCGACTGAAATGGTATCAACAGTGGGCGAAGTACCCAGAAGCTCACGGCAGCCTGTTTGCAGCTATATTTGGCCTCAGTGTGATGGAGCGGTTGAAGGGTGTTCCACGATTGTTGCCAGGGGGCTGGGTGGGAACTTACTCTACACCTATGGCACAACAGCATCGGCGCGACCTAGATTTGCTAGCAGAGATGGACGAAAACATGCAAGCATGGTACGAGCACCGTACGTCAGATCTGGCCATACTTACACCAGGAACCGAGGAGTGGCGGCAGTGGCCATGCGTCGACACGAGCATATTGCGCAGCACAGCGCAGAGGGGAGGAGGCAGAGAAGAGGGAGAGGACGAGACGGTGGAGGAGCAGGAGGAGGCCCTTGCACGCCCCCTTTGGTGCGACCACCCGCGCGTCGACGACGGAGGAAGGGAGACAGTATGCGGGAGGAGGTTTAGGACAGCACAGGCACTACAGGCACACAAGAGAGGAGTGCACAACCTTCGCACGCTGCTCACAGTGCTTGTTACCACTAATCAGTGCCCCTGGTGTCTCAGTGTATTCCTCAATCGCAAGACGGCGATATATCATTGTCACAGGGCTGTGCAACGGCACGGCACGTGCTATGTCGACCGCAGCAAATGGGCCCAAGAACTATTGGAACCAGCCTCATTGGAGTGCGGCCTATGTGGATACGAGGCCCAAGACTTACTCTCTTTTCAGCGCCGCGTTCGATCACATCACGAAGGCCCCCACTCGGTCAAAGAGCGTACTTGCCATGGCGGCGATGGCGCCGAGAGCGGACTGGCAGCTGGCTGGCAAGCGAGGCGCAAGGATCGACCTGGCAGGAGAACGACGCTCGTCGCCAGCAGCTTCGGCAGCAGCAAGCGGCGGTGAAAAGGGGGGCAACAGCCACAGCGAGGACGCGGCGGCGACCACGACCACTACGACGACCGCCTGAACGTGACGATGAAGCTCGCCCTGCGAAACGCGCAAGACTTGAGGGAGGCGATGCGCGTGCTGTCCGACTTCTGGCCCGTCCCAGCGCAGGCCGGGGCCTTCCAAGCGGGCCTGCAGGCAGCCAAGAAGTACGCCACGGAGGTCCGCTCCCGAGGGAAGAGGCGTGGCTTGGGACCCCCGCGCGCGCACGTGGCCATCGAGGTGATGCGCGAACTGCACGAGTCCATGGACGGGGCCAACGGCAGTATCATGGAGAAGGAGAGCAGAGCCACCCTGCTAGAGTTCATCAACTCGACGGCGAACGCCTACGGCCAGGCCATGATCGAGGAGATCTTCAAGAGCTTCAAAGTCAACGAGACTTACAAGAGGGAGGACGAGGACGAGGGGGACAGGTATGGCAAGCTCCAGTGCAGCCTGAACCCGACTCCAGTGCTGGGCGCCATCCTACAGGGGAAGGAGATCGGGGAGACCGAGCTCGCATGGGTGAGGAACCTTTCAGTGTTCAAGCTCAAGGAGGCGATGACGGTCAGCCTGCCGGGCCTCAACGCGACCAAGGGGAAGGCCTCTGCCCCCAAGAGCGCCTTGGAGAGAGCAGTCGAATCGTCCTTGCGCCGCAGGCAGTAACGACGGCACCAGCATCCCGACACAACCTGCCGACGCTAGGCGATGTTGCTGGGCGGCCAGGTCGAGAGGCGCCCACGACGGTGGATGGTAGGGGGGCGTGCGGCTCCCTACCATCCGTCCATCAGCCTTGGCCGGAGGGCTGGGCTGGGCCGACGGCGCCAGCATCCCGACACAACTTGCCGACACAAGGCGATGTTGCTGGGCGGCCAGGTCGAGAGGCGCCCACGACGGTAGCCAGCGGTCCGTTGTTGCCTTTGCCTCCTCTCTCGTCGTCCCTTGCACGCTGGCCACCAGAGAGCGGGATGGAAAAGCTTGCTCGTGCGACCAGTCTCGACCCGAAGAAATTCCAGAAATTCCGAAGACAAAATCAGTAGCAAATTTGAAGAGATGTACGCCCTTGCAGCGCAGTATCGAGAACGACGCAAGTACATTGTGGACCTCAGCCAGGGACTCGTACAAGGACCTCCTAGGACCCCAGGCCAAAGTTCAGGAGGGCAAGGTACCAACCTACAGGCACCAGTACGAGGACCATAGGAGCACCCGACGGGGCCCAGGCAGCATAGCAGCGACATGTGACGCCCGACTCCTGCACAACAGTGTGATGACATTAAATTACCCTTGCAGCATCGACTTGCAGTCTCGGCTCAACGGCAGAAATTCAATCATCCTTCATCTTACTCTGCTCTCGCATACGACGGTGAGCCCAAGCCCGAGGGAACCGTGCCCAGCCCAGAGCACCTCGACATTCGATATGCGTCATGACTGGCCGACAGTTGATGTGCAACAGGTGCAGATAAGACGACCATGAGGTTCCGAGGGAAGTGAGACCACTGAGGCGACAGCACGCATCCAGGCGGCGCCGCAGCTTTATAGCAATTCCACTGTAGCTGCGAGGGATCCCCTGCTTATCTTGCTGTCTCTGCCACTCTCCCTCTCGTGATTGAAGCCGCGCCTGTCGGCCCTCGTCCGCCTCCTCAACGTCGTCAGGTGGATGGTAGGGGGGCGCGCGGCCCCCTACCTTCCGTCCATCAGCCTTGGCCTAATGGCCGGGCTGGATGGAGGTTTCAGGTTCAGGTATTTCGAGCGCGGGCAGTTCGACCAGATGCGAACAGCCGCCTTCTTCTTTTCTTCTTTGCTGCAAGGAGGAGCCGCCCCTTGGGAGGCCCCGCGCCCAGGGAGGCTTGGGCGCTTCCCCACGCCGTTTTTGGGTTTGAACTGGCTGCTCTGCCCACTCCCCCTGCCGACATTGGGAACGGTGTTCGGGCCTCCCCATGACGGCGTGGAGGAGGGGGTCGTGGTGGCCAGCTCGAGCCCCTCTGCGAGGCCCGTGCCTCGCCGCCGATGGCCACTCACCTTGCGTGCAACGGCTCGCTCGGTGAGTCGCCAGGCTGGCCCAGCCCCGAAGAGAGGGCCAGCTCCTACGCATCCGCAGGGGTCTCACTTGCTCACAAGCGTAGAGGAGCTACGACCCCCGAGCGCCTGCCTTGCCTTGCCTTTGCCTTGCCTCCTCCTCCTCCTCCTCCTCCCCCTCCTGCTCCTCCTCGCCCTCCTCCTCCTCCTCCTCCTCCTCCTCCTCAGGGGCCGCCCAGGCGCAGGCGCCCCCGCCGAGCTCCACCCAAGACAGCCTCGCACACCACACCTCTGCGTGCAGGAGGCCCAGGGCAGAGCGGGAGGACGGTGCCACTCGGGCGGCAGCAGCAATTCTTGTAGCACACCCCACACTCCCCCACACTCCGATAATGAAGTTGCTGTTTCATACTGTGCAATGG